GGTCAGAGCCCACGCTGCGGGCTGGCGCGGTAGTCTGCTGGGGCTTCTGCAGAGACTGAGCAGCTTCAGCAGCGAGATTCCACCACAGAGATGTGCTGCCTCACAGTCCTGGGGCTGGAAGTCCAGGGTCACCATGCGGCAGGGTCGGCTCCCCAGGGCCCCCTAGTTTGCATACGCAGCCTGCGTGCACGCGGCCGTCCCTCTGTGGGTCTGTGTCCGAATTTCTTCTCGTTCTCTTCTTTTCCTTCCTTTTCTTTTTTCTTTTCTTCTTTCCAACAGAGGCAGAGAGAAAGGGAAAATTCGCTGTCACCCCCCAGACAGATGGCCAAGCCACAGTCCCTTCTCCTCCACTCTCCTCTTGGGGTTTTGGGCATATATACACATGCGCCCGCTGTGATTTTCAGGCCACCGGGTCTGGGACTTGAACCATGGTCAGCCATGTGGGAGTCCAGCATCCTAACCACCACGCCACCTGCAGGCCCCTACCATAGAAATTTCTTCTAAAAGAATTATTTAATTTTCATTATCGTCCTTTTTTTTTTTTTTTTTTTCAATTTTACCAGAGCAACAGAGAGAGAGAAAAGTGAGAAAGCAAGCCGCCAAGTCCAAGACCTGAACCGCGGTTGGCCATGTGGGAGTCTGGCGCCTTAACCACCTGCTGGCCCCTACCATATAATAGCAGGTGGGGATGAGTAGAAGTAAGATCACAAGGGATCATAAAATTAGGAGCCCAGGGGCCAGCAGATGGTTAGCGGTTATGTCACTGGGCTCCCACAGGGCCAAGCATGGTTCGAGTACCTAACCTGGTGGAACTCACGCCAGGCGTGTGCGTGCGTGCCCAAGATCCCCGGGAGGAGAATGGAGGAGAAGGGATTATAGCTGGCTATCCCCCCTGGGGGTGACTTCTCACTTTCCCTCTCACTGTCTCTGTCTGTCTCTCTGGAGAGTACACACACCCTAAGGCAAAAACCGTTTTTTTTTTAAAGGTTTTTGCTATAGGGCCTGTGTGCTCACCAGAAAGAGAGAGAGACATAGAGACAGAAAGCGAGAAATCACCCCCCAGGGGGGAGTCCAGGGACATAGCCATTACACCAACTGCTGGTCCCCAGCAAAAACCTCTTAAAAAAAAAATGAAAATAAAACCAAACCAGAAAATCCCAGTGGGACAGAGAAATGGAGGAGGAGGAGGGATTGTGGCAGTCGCCCCGCGTTACTGAGTGCTTTCTCCCTCCTCCTCCGTCTCTGTCTCTCTTCTCTCTGGAGAGTGCACGCACCCTCTGGCAAATAATCAATTAATCAATAAGACGAGGCCAGCAGGTGGCGTGGAGCTTGAACGGTTGGATCCCACATGGTTGCCCGTGTGGTTTCAGTCCTGAACTGGCAGCTCGAGAAACACCGGGCGCATGTGCACGCGTGCCCAAAATCTGGCTGCCACCGCCAGTTCCCACGGGGGAGGGTGCTCCCTCCTCCTCTCTCTCTGGCACACACTCAGCCTCTAGCAAAACAAAATAAGAAGTGAGCAACAGGACCAGCAGGTGGTGCAGTAGTTAGTGCACTGGCCACCCACATGGCTGACCACAGTTTGAGTCCTGGATCTGGTGGCTTAAAATTCATGCCAGGTGTGTGCACATGCCCGAAATCCCAAGAGGAGAGTGAAGGACGAGATTATGGAGTGGCTGCCCTCGCCGGGGGGTGATTTCTCGCTTTCTGTCTTTCCCTCTGTCTCTCTGGTGAGTACATACACCTATATCCAAAGTCTCTCAAAACGTAAAAACAAAAAAGCCTCATCCCCATTATTAGTTTCTCGCCACTCCCATCTCTGACAATCTGTATCTTTTGTTTGAGTTTAGAAAAAGGGGAAATAGTGGAACCAGCAGTTGGCATAATGGCTATGTCGCTGGACTCCCACGTAGTCAACCGCGGTTCAAGTCCCAGACCCGGTGGCTTAAACTCATGCTGGGCACGTGTGCGTGTGTGCCCAAGATCCCAAGAGGAGAATGGAGGAGAAGGGATTGTGGCCTGGCCATCTCCCGTGAGGGGTGACTTCTCGCTTTGTCTCTCTGTCTCTCTCTCTGTCTTTCTGGTGAGTGCATGCGCCCTATAGCAAAAACCTCTCAAAAAAAAAAAAGAAAGAAAGGAAAAAGAAGGGAAGGAAGAGGGGAATAGGTATAGTCTGAAAGAGAGGGAGAGAACATGTTGGGAAGGGTCCGGAAACCTGCCACCAAGGGCGTGCTGTCCCCCTCTCCACCCAGGCTGAAGAGGTGCTGCATCCCCAGCGCTGCCTGCCAGGCCCTGGCGGCCGCTCTCGTGGCCAGCAAGGATCTGATGAGGATGGACCTCAGCGGCAACAGCCTCGGGCTGCCGGGCGTGAGGCTGCTGTGCGAGGGGCTCCGGCACCCCAAGTGCCGGCTGCAGATGGTCCAGTGAGTCTGCACCCTGGGGACGAGGGGAGGAGCTGTTACTCTGCAAGGTCTGTCCACACAAGTGCCCTGTCCTCCGAGGTGGGCGAGGCCAGCAGATAGCGTGGTGGCTAAGGCACTGGACTCCCACACGGCCAGCCACAGTTTGAGTCCTGGACACCGGGCACGTGTGTGTGTGTGTGTGTGCCCAAAACCCCAAGAGAACGGAGAAGGGATTGTGGTGTGGCCATCCCCGCTGGGGAGTGATTTCGCACTTTCTCTCTGGCTCTTTCCAGCGAGTGCACACGCCCTATGGCAAAAATTTTAAAAATTACAGAAATGTCCCCAAATGCAGAGGGTTCCCAGGTCTGCACCCTCCACCAGGGCCTGCCCTTGAACCCCAGAATCTGTGCACTTTAGAGCCATCCGTGACCCCACCATGTCTACGTGGTGAGCAGTCCTGGGGCCCGTGCCCACCCTCGTCCCTTCTGTCCCGAGGAGTCAGAACCCGAGCACCCAGATCAAAGAGCTAGGCGGTTCCTTTCGTCTTACTCGTCCAAGGGAAGTCCTGGATAGCCTCCTCCACGGGATGGCCTCCCAGACTGCCCAGCAAGTGCGCAGCCCAGTCCCACGGCCCCTCGTGTGGTGTTTTTAATCAGCAGGCATCCGCATTTCCCTTTCGTGTATATTTATTCATCTCCTCCATGGGGGGAGGCCCACAGGGTCCCCACGCCACGATCCACCCCAGCCTCAGCCAGGGTCACCGGCCCATCACTTTCCTGTGTGGTCCCCGAGGGGACCTCAGGACACGAACTGGGGACCACGGCATAAGGGCCGGCTCGGTAGACCACTGAGAACTGCCGTGCCACCACCAGTGCCGGCTCCCACTTACGGGGACTCACGCCATGCTGGGCCTGGTCCAACTTCTTCCCTCTGGGTGACTTTCCTAACTGCCAGGGGCTCCCGTGGGCTCTTTCACCCTGCGGTGACCATGGGGAGTCCGGCACTCTCTGCGCTTGGTGGGCAGCGGCGAGTCGCAGAGCCCACGAGTCGGGCGAGCGGATGGGGGCCCGCCGGGGCAGATGGCGCGGGCACAGTGCGGTCAGAGGCTGAACGTGGCTTGGTCGCCTTCATCTCTGTCGCGTCAGTGACACGGGTGATGGAAGGGGCGGGGGTGAGTGGTGGGATAGAGCGAAAGGGCACCCCCTGACGTCTCTCCCCAAGGCTGAGAAAGTGCCGGCTGGAGGCGGGGGCGTGCCAGGAGATGGCGTCCGTGCTGAGTGCCAGCCGCCACCTGGCCGAGGTGGACCTGAGCGGGAACGCCCTGGAGGACCTGGGCCTGAGCCAGCTGTGCCAGGGCCTGAAGCACCCTGCCTGCAGGCTGCGCACCCTGTGGTGAGTCCTGGGGCGGATGCCTGGGGTGGCCGCTGAGTCGGAACGCTCTGCCGCTTGTACACCCGCCCCCATGGCACGGTCGCAGCAGCTGAAACCAGAAGGCACCCCGGTGCGCACCAGGGGATGAGCGCTAGACACATGTGGTGTATGTGGCTTGTCTGTTCAGGTTCACAGCAGTGAACTTTGACCCTTCGGCCTGGGGCTTGGGTTGCCTATGGCCAACCATTGGGTTCAAATCCCAGCAACAGGCGTGTTGCCGAAGTGCCCCGAATCCCATCAAGGAGAAGTGGGGGAGAAGGGATTGCAGCAAGACAGTGCCGAGTGGGGGGCCCTCTCCCTCTCCCTGGCAAGTGCACGCACACTCGAGGGGGAAAAAGATTCTTCTACCTGCATGTGGTACACACCCAAACACAAAACCGTGTACTTCAAGACCCATATATATATATAATTTTTTTTTTAAGTTTTGCTTTAAGGCCTGTGTGCTCCCCAGAGAGAGAAGGGGGAAAGTGAGAAGTCACCCCGGGAATGACGCCCACAATCATCCATTCTCCTCTGGGATTTTGGGCACGTACGCACATGCGCCTGGCATGCTGGAACTTGAACTGTGGCTGGCCACGCGAGATCCACGTGTTGAGACACCACCTGCTGGGCCCTCGAGACCCTGCTTTTACCCTCCGGGTGTACCCAGAAGGGGGTTGCTGGGTCATACAGTCGTTCTGCTTCCAGCTTTTGAGGAACTGCCCTTCTGTGTCCATAGCTGGTCCACGTTGCTGTCCCCCGCCCCACACGTCAGCTCGCTCTGTTCACGGGGGCGGACTTCCTGGTGGGAACGCACTGTGGCTCCCCCAGTGGCCAAGACGGTGGGCGCCTTCGACCATGCTTGCTGGCCGTGGCCAGGTCTTCGGAGCAGTGTCTGTCCAAGTCCATGTTTAGCGGATTACTTGTTTGAAAATGTTCTTTTTGTTTGTGTATAGCAAAGCAGAGAGTTTATTTAATGGTTGGGGGAGAAAAAGAGCTCCCAAGGGAGGAGCCCCGGAAAATAGGTCGCCCGAAAAGGCACTGCTTTTCCCACGGGGCGGGGATAAGCAGCTTCATGTAGGAAGCGGGCGCTCCTATCCGGTGACCCGGCTACGTGCAGGTTGAAGATCTGCCACCTCACCTGCGCTGCCTGTGGCGACCTGGCCGCCACCCTCAGTGTGAACAGGAGCCTGACGGAACTGGACCTGAGTCTGAACGACCTGGGGGACCCCGGGGTGCTACGGCTCTGCGAGGGCCTCCAGCACCCCGAGTGCAAGCTCCAGACCCTGCGGTGAGTCCAAGCCCTGACCTTGCCCACTGCCCGTGCTCGCCGAGACCACGCTCCACCGCGCTCCACCCCTCCCCTCAAACCAGCATCAGCCTCCATTTGTTTTTAAGTTTTTTGGGGTTTTTTTTGGAGACATTTTGCTATAGGGTGCGTATGCTCGCCAGAACCCACGCTGCAATCCCTTTTCCTCCATTCTCCTCTCGGGATCTTGGGCACGCACACACATGCGCCCGGCGTGAGCTTAAGCCACCGAGTCCGGGACTCGAACTGCAGTCAGCTACATGGGAGTCCAGCAACATAGCCATTACGCTAACTGCTGGTCCCTGTTTTGAAGTTTTTGCCTAAGGGCACATGCACTAGCTGGAGAGAAACAGAGAGGGGGAAAGAGGGAAATCCGCCCCCCGGGGATGGCCCCACCACAGTCCCTTCTGCTCCGTTCCCCTCTCAGGATTTGGGGCACGCGTGCACACGTGCCTGGCATGATTCTCGAGCCACCAGGTCCCGGACTCACGGTGCAGCCAGCCATGTGTGAGTCCAGTCCCTTAACCTCCACACCACCTAACGGCCCTGTACCAGCCTATTCTCTAAACAAATAATTATTTTTTTAATTTTATTTCTTCTTCTTCTTTTTTTTTTTTTCCTTTGAGCAGAGAGAGACACAGATTGGGAAAGTGACAAAGCAAGTCACCAGCTCCAAGACTCAAACCATGATTGGCCATATGGAAGTGTCCAGCACCTTAACCTCCATGCCATCTGCTGGCCCTCAGCCTGTTTCTTTTTTTTTTTTAATTTTTTAATTTAATTTTATTTATTATTATCATTTTTCAATTTTGACGAGAGAGACAGAGACAGAGAGAGAGGGAAAGTGAGAAAGCAAGCTGCCAGGTCCAGAACTCGAACCGTGGTCAGCCATATGGGAGTCCAGCGCCTCAACCTCCATGCCACTTGGCCGGCTCAGCCTGTTTTTTTTTTTTTTTTAAAAAATTTTTTTACCTTGAGTTGTGTACGATTGCTGGGGAGAGAGAAAAAGACAGACAGTGACAGGGAAAGTGACAAATTGTCCCCTGGAAGGATGACCACACCACAATCCCTTCTCCTCCATTTTCCTGGGATCTTGGGTACAAATGCACCCAGCAGGATTTTCAAGCCACTGGGTCTAGGACTTGAACCGTGGTCGTCCATGTGGGAATCCAACAATGTAACTGCTACGCCATCTGCTGGTCCCCATATTAGCCCCTATATTTAAAGACTTCTCTGCTACCACTGTGCCTTTGCACAAGCAATATTGCCTCCTAGGAATCTCTCCCACGCTGCTTTTGTTTTTGCTCAGTAAAGTCCTGTTAAATTTTGAAGACTGGGAACCAGCAGTTAGCGTAATGGCTATGTCGCTGGACTCCCACGTAGTTGACCGCGGTTCGCGTCCCGGACCCGGTGGCTTAAAACTCACGCCGGGCTCCTGTGCGTGCGTGAACAAGATCCCGAGAGGAGAATGGAGGAGAAGGGATTGCGGCGTGACCATCCCCCATGGGGGGTGATTTCTCGCTTTCTGTCTCTATGTCTCTCTCTGTCTTTCTGGCAAGCGCACGTGCCCTATAGCGAAAACCTCTCCAAAAAATAAAAAAGTACCCCCTGTCTTTAAAGAATTATTTATTTAATGTTTTATTAAAGAGGTTTTGTTTTGTATTTTTTGCTATAGGGAACATGTGCTCGCCAGAGAGACAGAAAGCAAGAAACCACCCCCTAATGCAATCCCTTCTCCATTCTCTCAGGATTTTGGACATGCACACATACGCACCTGGCGTGAATTTGAAGCTGCCAGGTCCAGGACTCAAACCACGGTCTACTTTGGAGGAATCTCGTGACATAATCATTATGCCATCTGCTGCCCCATTCTTGCTGTTTTTCAAATTGACCAGAGAGTGACAGAAAGAGAAAGGGAACGTGAGAAAGCAAGCTCCCAGGCCCAGGACTCGACTGTTGGCCATGCAGGATTCCAGCTCCTCCACTGTCATGCCACCTCAGCCCCAAGCATTGTTTAAAACACAGATATTGGGGCCGGCAGTTGGCGTAACGGCTATGTCACTGCACTCCCATGTAGTTGACCACAATTTGAGTCCTGGAGCCGGTGGCTTAAACTCACGCCGGGCGTGTGTGCGTGCGTGCCCAAGATCCCGAGAGGAGAATGGAGGAGAAGGGACTGCGGCGTGGCCATCTCCCCTGGGGGTGATTTCTCGCTTTTTGTTTGTCTGTCTCTCTCTGTCTGTCTGGCGAGCGCACGCGCCCTATAGCGAAAACCTCTCAAAAAAAAGAAAACTACAGCTGTTGTGGGCAAGCCTGTGGTACGATGGCTAAAGCACCTGGACCCCACGTGGATTTCCCCTCTCCCTAAAGAATTATTTTATTTAACTTTATTTATTTTAATTTGACCAGAGAGGGACAGAGCGAGCGAGAGAGGGAAAGTGAGAAAGCAAGCCGCCAGGTCTGGGACTTGAACCACAGCCGGCCATGTGGGAGTCCCGTGCCCTTAACCACCACACCACCTGCAGGCCCCTGCATCCTACATGTTTGGCAGTGTGGTTCAAGGCCGGAACCCAGTGGCTTGAAGGAGCACTCCGGCTCTGTGTGTGTGCCCCAGTCCCGAGCAGATAAAGGGACCGCGGGGCCCGCCGGGCGCGAGGTCTCTCACTCCCCTCTCCCCAGCCATGCCGGCCCCATAGCCACACCGAAAAGACAGACACCAAATGAGAAGGGGGAACCACAGGGCCCTTCCGTGGTCCGGAGGGCAGCTGTGTTTCTGTTTTGTTTTGGGGGTTGGCAGCAACTGTTTTCGGGAGAAAAGCAAGGCCGACCCTTTTCATTCCGTGTTTTACTGTTGGAGGGCGTGTTCACCCTCCGGGAGCCAGGGAGGGAGCGTGGTAGTTAGCGCAGCAGCCCGGTGCTGGGAGCCCGGGTCAGGGCGTTGTTCCCGGGCGCTAGCGCAGGGGCCCCGGATCCGGCTGGTGAGAACAGGGCGGCCCTCTCACCGCCTGCTTCTGCCTCCTCCCTCCTCTGGGGCAGAGATGGAGCCTGCCGCGCCCTCCGAGGGGAGCGCGTGGGAGGGAGCACCCAGCCGGCACGTGTCTCTCCAGGCTGGGCATCTGCCGGCTGAGCGCTGCGGCCTGCGTGGGGCTCTCCGCCGTGCTCCAGGCCAACCGCCACCTCCGGGAGCTGGACCTGAGCTTCAACGACCTGGGAGACCGCGGCGTGTGTGTGCTGGGGGAGGGTCTGTGCCACCCCGCCTGCAGACTCCAGAAACTGTGGTGAGTCTTTGGGGGCCATGGGGACCGGGAGACTCAGGGGGAGGGTTTTCCCATGGTCCTTTGTATTCCCATCTAAGGACGACACCCCTCACGTTGGAGAGAAAGCAGAGACAAGAGACACATGTGCTGGGCCCCGGACGGCATAGTGGCTAGTCACTGGGCTTCCACGTGGCTGACTGCAGTTTCAGTCCTGGGCAGGGACCCAGTGGCTTCAAACTCAGGATGTGCGGGACCAGCAGTTGGCCTAATGCCTGCGTGCCCAAGATCCCAGAGGAGAATGGAGAAGGGATTGTGGTGTGGCCATCCTCCCCCCAGGGGTGATTTCTCACTTTCAGTCTCTCTTCTCTCTATCTCTCTCTGTCTTTCTGGCAAGCGCATGTGCCCTAGAGCAAAAACCTCTTCCCCCAAAAAAAACAAAAAAAAAAAGAAAAAAGAAAAAAAAACACCTCACCATGTGCCTGCATGCCCAGGACCCCAGGAGAATATGAGGAGGGATTGCAGCATGGCCACCCACCTGGGGGTGAGCTCTCACTTTCCCTCTCCTGTCTCAGTTTTTTTTTTTTTTTTGGGGGGGGGGGGGGGGTTTTTTTTTTTTTTTTTTTTGATGGAGGGTTGGTCCCCACAACCACA